ATATATATTTTAAAAAGATGCATATATTGTATTTCTAATTATTTTATTGTTCCAATATTTCGAGGGGCAACTCGCCTCACTTTATCGAGGATGTTTGTGTTTTTCACTAGAACATGCGCGCGCGCGTACACCACTCTCGTTCTTCAAGGCCAATGAAAGAATTGTATCTTTGATTTAACTATTGTATTCAGTTTATATACAGCTAATAATTATCACATATAATAAAGCGTCTGTTCGTTGAAGCCGAATAGGATTGGTCCATTCTGTGTGACGTGTTCAAACCTGATTGGCTTGGCCGCCCCCCCTCACTTAAGTGACGTGGCCGGCTGAGATGGTACTGACCACGGGATGAGATGGGACTGACCACGGGTTGAGATGGGACTGAGCACGGGATGAGATGGGACTGAGCACGGGATGAGATGGGACTGAGCACGGGATGAGATGGGACTGAGCATGGGATGAGATGGGAATGATCACGGGATGAGATGGGACTGAGCACGGGATGAGATGAAACTGACCACGGGATGAGATGGGACTGAGCACGGGATGAGATGGGAATGATCACGGGATGGGATGGGACTGAGCACGGGATGAGATGGGACTGACCACGGGATGAGATGGGACTGAGCACGGGATGAGATGAAACTGACCACGGGATGAGATGGGACTGAGCACGGGATGAGATGGGGCTGAGCACGGGATGGGATGGGACTGACCACGGGATGAGATGGGACTGAGCACGGGATGAGATGAAACTGACCACGGGATGAGATGAAACTGACCACGGGATGAGATGGTACTGACCACGGGATGAGATGGGACTGACCACGGGTTGAGATGGGACTGAGCACGGGATGAGATGGGACTGAGCACGGGGTGAGATGGGGCTGAGCACGGGATGAGATGGGGCTGAGCACGGGATGAGATGGGACTGATCACGGGATGAGATGGGACTGAGCACGGGATGAGATGGGAATGAGCACGGGATGAGATGGGACTGACAGCGGGATGAGATGGGACTGACCACGGGATGAGATGGGACTGAGCACGAGATGAGATGGGACTGAGCACGGGATGAGATGGGACTGAGCACGGGATGAGATGGGAATGATCACGGGATGAGATGGGAATGATCACGGGATGAGATGGGACTGACCTCGGGATGAGAAGGGACTGAGCACGGGATGAGATGGGACTGAGCACGGGATGAGATGGGACTGAGCACGGGATGAGATGGGACTGAGCAAGGGATGAGATGGGACTGAGCACGGGATGAGATGGGACTGACAGCGGGATGAGATGGGACTGAGCACGGGATGAGATGGGGCTGAGCACGGGATGAGATGGGAATGATCACGGGATGGGATGGGACTGAGCACGCGATGAGATGGGACTGACCACGGGATGAGAAGGGACTGAGCACGGGATAAGATGAAACTGACCACGGGATGAGATGGGACTGAGCACGGGATGAGATGGGGCTGAGCACGGGATGGGATGGGACTGAGCACGGGATGAGATGGGACTGACCACGGGATGAGATGGGACTGAGCACGGGATGAGATGAAACTGACCACGGGATGAGATGAAATTGACCACGGGATAAGATGGGACTGAGCACGGGATGAGATGAAACTGACCACGGGATGAGATGGGACTGAGCACGGGATGAGATGGGACTGAACACGGGATGAGATGGGACTGAGCACGGGATGAGATGGGACTGAGCACGGGACGAGATGGGACTGAGCACGGGATGAGATGGGACTGAGCACGGGATGAGATGGGACTGAGCACGGGATGAGATGGGACTGAGCACGGGATGAGATGGGACTGACAGCGGGATGAGATGGGACTGACCACGGGATGAGATGGGACTGAGCACGAGATGAAATGGGACTGAGCACGGGATGGGATGGGACTGAGCACGGAATGAGATGGGACTGAGCACGGGATGAGATGGGAATGATCACGGGATGAGATGGGACTGAGCACGGGATGAGATGGGACTGAGCACGGGATGAGATGGGACTGAGCACGGGATGAGATGGGACTGAGCACGGAATGAGATGGGACTGAGCAAGGGATGAGATGGGACTGAGCACGGGATGAGATGGGACTGACAGCGGGATGAGATGGGACTGAGCAAGGGATGAGATGGGGCTGAGCACGGGATGGGATGGGACTGAGCACGGGATGAGATGGGACTGACCACGGGATGAGATGGGACTGAGCACGGGATGAGATGAAACTGACCACGGGATGAGATGGGACTGAGCACGGGATGAGATGGGAATGATCATGGGATGGGATGGGACTGAGCACGGGTTGAGATGGGACTGACCACGGGATGAGATGGGACTGAGCACGGGATGAGATGAAACTGACCACGGGATGAGATGGGACTGAGCACGGGATGAGATGGGGCTGAGCACGGGATGGAATGGGACTGAGCACGGGATGAGATGGGACTGACCACGGGATGAGATGGGACTGAGCACGGGATGAGATGAAACTGACCACGGGATGAGATGAAACTGACCACGGGATGAGATGGGACTGAGCACGGGATGAGATGAAACTGACCACGGGATGAGATGGGACTGAGCACGGGATGAGATGGGACTGAACACGGGATGAGATGGGACTGAGCACGGGATGAGATGGGACTGAGCACGGGATAATAAAGCGTCTGTTCGTTGAAGCCGAATAGGATTGGTCCATTCTGTGTGACGTGGCGTGTGACGTGACGTCGGCAATTTATTCGGTGAATATTTGAGGAATAATATTTTTTAAATAATTTTATTTTTTAATTTAGCTTGATTATTTTATTTTTATAAACAATGTCTCCTAAAAGAGCCCTTTCTATTGTTGAGGCCATCGAAGCAAAGCAACGTCGTATTGAACAGCAGCGACAAAGACGTTTAAATTCACCCGTAAGAGAACGGCATAATGAACAACAACGGCAATACCGAATGAATATGAGCGAAAATCAAAGAGCCCTTCAAAGGGAAAACAGTAGGCTGAGGATGCAAAGAATTCGACAGGGAGATAATCTACCTTTGCCAACAGGGACATGTTTCGAGGAAGATCAAATTCCCCTGCAATTTTGTGGCCAACTTGATCAAGTTTGCCCAAAATGTAGAGCAAAGTATTTCGAATTGGAACAAACGACATACAGTAAAACTTTTCATAAATGCTGTTCCAAAGGAAAAGTCGAACTTGAACCGATTCAAACTCAATCCATTTCAATCCACCTGCTCTAGCCGATCCCGTCCTTGGACGGGCCTTTCTACTAGTATTTAATATTATAGATTATTATTTTATCTATGAAAGATAAGAGAGATTTATATACAACAGTGTAATCACATATAATAAAGCATCTGTTCGTTGAAGCCGAATAGGATTGGTCCATTCTGTGTGACGTGTTCAAACCTGATTGGCTTGGCCGCCCCCCCCCCCCCCCACTTAAGTGACGTTGCCGGCTGAGATGGTACTGACCACGGGATGAGATGGGACTGACCACGGGTTGAGATGGAACTGAGCACGGGATGAGATGGGACTGAGCACGGGATGAGATGGGACTGAGCACGGGATGAGATGGGAATGATCACGGGATGAGATGGGAATGATCACGGGATGAGATGGGACTGAACACGGGATGAGAAAGATTGAAAAGAGCAACATCATCCGAAACCTCCAGAGATATGGATTCCCAGCCTCATTTGTGATGAAACACACTTATAAAGGGTTCCTTCCCCGAAACCGGCAGGTATATCGATCTAATTGCTATTTGCAGTATTCCCCTACTAATCAAAGGCTAGCAGATGTTTTGAGGAAATTTGGGATTAGGCCTGTTTTTGTAGGCTCTCGATCCATCGGCCAATTAGTCAGACATCCAATCTCGAAATCTCAGATTAAGACAGAACCGAGTGACCAGCAAAATGCGGTTTATTCATTATCTTGCCAACAATGTACCGCTTCTTACGTGGGGGAAACCGGCCGAACTGTTGGTACCAGAGTTAAAGAGCATATTAGGAACGTAAAGAACCGAGATAGCAGATCTTTTATTTATCAACATGAGGATTCTACTGGCCACCATTTCAACCTACAGGAAGTCAAGTGTTACTTCCGAAATATATTCTCCAAACATAATAGACTTATACTGGAATCCTTGGTTTCGAACGATAAAAAGAGCATTAACAGAAGGATCGATATACCACAGCAGTACCTTCATATATCCCATAGCTAAATTAGTTGTATAAATTCATAGTCGGTTTTTTGTCTTATTGTAATTTCCAAATCTTAATTTAGTCCTTTTTATATAATCTTAGCGTATCTCAAATTTCATAGTTTTAAATTTGTTTTAAAAATTTTTTATTTTTATTTTATTTTAAAGTTTTCGGCACATTTGCATGTATCGGTGTATACGATATATTTTATTACAATTAGTTTATTTCCGGTAAGATCAGTTCTACGCCTATATATAGTTTAGATTTTGTATTATTTTTTAATATATATTTGCGAAATCGGCCTGATGATAGGCTAACGCCTGAAAGCTTGCCAAATTGCAGAATAAAAGAAACTTGTTGCAAAAAATTTTTTCTTCCTTAAATTACTGATTGCAATTATTTAGGTTTTTACAATATAATATAATGCGGCTTGTGATTGTAAAACGACATTTTAAAATTTACTCCGCATGTGTTTCTTTTCAACAAAAAATCAAAATTTATTTTAAGGAGAAATAACGATTATTTCTAACCTTATGGATGAGTTAAGAAAGAATGAATTGTGAAGAGTAATGATAAACGGAAAAAATAAAAGTATCCAGGGATGGGAATCGAACCCACAGTGTTCCGCTTACCGGGCAGATGCCATGTCCACTAGGTTACCCTGGACATATTTTACCGCTCGTATATAATACTTAAAGTAATTTATAATACAATATAATATAATGCGGCTTTTGATTGTAATGTATTATTTACGAGCGGAAATATATGTCCAGGGTAGCCTAGGTGAACATGGCATCTGCCCGGTAAGCGGAACACAGTGGGTTTGATTCCCATCCCTGGACACTTTTATTTTTCCGTTTATTATTACTCTTCACAATTCATCCTTTCATAACTCATCCATAAGGTTAGAAATAATCGTTATTTTGGGACCAAATTTTGGTCGAAGAGGTCCGCCTGCATCACGCTGAAGAGGGCCAACAGCCCGAAACGCTTACATGGTTGGCTTTTCATCAAATATTGAGTTGGCCAAATATCACGGAAACCTAGATGGCACTCTGACATCTAAAATGCTTATGAGAGCGCGGTCAGGATATGACTTTCTATTTTAAAACTATTTCTTCTACATGAACAAATTATTTACGCAAAATTGGCTTGAATTCCAATTTCTTGATTTCTCAGGAAACCTCTGGGACTAAATTTTGAGGTACAGCCTGCACCACGCTAACGAGGGCCAGCAGCCCGAAACGCCGACTAAATATTTATGTACCAAAAATAGGCACCTATTACTTTGAAATTCATTAAAACAATTCATTTTGGTGTTGGCAAATTGCACTAATATCAAGACTCCTCACGTAAGAGGACCGTCCCTGTACTGATGAAGGCCTGAGCCCAATGTATACAGTTTGGCTTTTGTCTGAATTTTCCAGAACTGGTGTCGTGGGTCATTCTTATCACCACCATTACAATTTGTATTGAAGTGATCAATCTCTCTCTCTCTCTCTCTCTCTCTCTCTCTCAAAATACATTGTATAAACGAATTTTAATCAAACTCTTGTTTGAGAAAGGGCAAGACTCGAAAGATTACATTAAAAACTTGCAGTAAGTCACTTATTTAATCTTGTATTAACATTGTATGTATATCCCGAAACTGCCAAAACTTCAAACAATTGTTTACTCGATTTTTTTCCCTTTCTCTCTCTAGGTTGTTTAAACTCCTGTTATTTTGAACTCTTGATAAATGAAAAATTCCTCTCGTCCCTTGAGATTCAAATTATCGAGAGTCGACTGTATATGTACTCAAAGGAGCATATCTCACTCTAAATATGCATCAGAATGAAGCACTGTGTATCACTCTAATAGAAAACCTCACTAGTGATGATGAAAATTAGCCACAACATTAGTTTTGGCAAGTTCATACAAAAAGTCAACCTGTATAAAAACCCTGGTGTTGTGGATCAGTCTTTATTATCACTAGTGAAGAGTTTCATAAAGGTGAAACAGTACATCGTTCTGATGTATTATTCAAAGGAGAAGTGTCTCTTTAAGTACATATATATCATCCTTCCGTTATATTTTACAAATATAGGTGTGAATAAGGTAAAATATATAGAGATAAAATATCTGGTGTGATATTATATAAAATAAATAAAATTCCAGTTAAAATATTCATTTTTTTTAGCTGTCAGGATTACATTTTAAATATAAATATTTTATAGAAAGAGGAACTCTATCTTGTGTGTGATACAAATATTTATTTATAAAAGTTCTCAAATTATATTATTTGATTCCAACCCGCTTCCCCATGAACTTCCATTGAGGCCGCCACAACAAAGACTTTCTCACTTTAGCAACTGAAGCGATCTAGCGAACAACTCAAGCGAGCGACCAAAGCGATCTTTTGTGATCTTTGAAGCGATCTTTTGTTACCGAGGTGATCTTGTGATCTGAGCGATCTTTGGTGATCTGTGAACGACATTGTGATCTGAGCGATCTTGTGATTTGAGCGATCTTATCTGACCGAAGCGATCAAGCTTGCATCATGGGGGGCTGCTGCGGCAAGAAGAAGAGGCGTAAGAAGTAAGTGGATTTACTCTACTCTATAGTTTAGTATAGTTTAGGATTAGAGAAGTAGTTCTGGTTTTAGCAAAATGAACAAGAACTATCTTCGTTATAAGTATAAATTTCCAAGATTTGAAGTTACAAGATAACGGAAAAACATATTCAAATGGATCAAGCAGAGCACACAGACACAATAATCTCGTTCTTCCAAAAAAATACTTTTGTGAAATAATATCCATCAAATTAATTTATCGATCTTTCTAAAGGATCCTTGTAAATAAAGAAGAGCTTTACTTTTGATCTAATTGAGAATTTTAAAATCGCAATGTTTTATTGATAGATAACCGTCTCTTAGTTTTGTGTTTTGAAGAGATGAACTTTATGGAAATATTTATAGCGATTTGACTCGACTTTACACACGTGGTTATCCCATGCCGGGCTGGAGAGAAACATACGAGAGTCTCGTGGATTGATATTAACAAAGTAAACACTTCGAGAGATGATTTTGATTAAAATTGAACTTTGACTGCAAGAAGAGTTTTGTTTCAATTTTACCTTGAAATAACACCTACTAGTTTATTCATGAAAGCAAACAAAATAAGAGAGAAAGAGCTAATTTTCAAATTTTCAAAATGTTTTAATAAGAAGAGAAGGATGTTTCAAAATCAAAATTGTTATTTATGTTATTTCGATGTTGAATTTACCAGTTAAATTTTTGAAAGGGGTAGCTGGCAGGGATTTTATATATATCATCAGAGAGGGATATAAATTAGGTATATTTCAAGTATGGGGTTACAGTATCAAAATACCTGTTTTTTTTAATTCTAAAGGCAGAAATAAATGCATTTATATTTTCAATACTATATTATTAAAATTTTTATTACAAATTAATTTATTTTATTTTTCTATTAATATTGAATCACGAAATAAAAAGTAAACTATTCTATATATTTGTGACTTAAGGGTGATATATTTTTAATAACCAAATTTACTATATCAAATTTCATCCAATTTTTTTACAGTTATTGCAGCAGTCTCGTAAAGAGTTTTATGAAAGATGTTCGAAGCTGTATGTCGGAATATATTTCACCTTAAATATAATAGTTGCCAGAAATATAAAGCAATTAGAATATTATGTTTATTACACAAGGCTATTGCTTCCTGTTATAGCACTCTATATATATATTATGTATGTTGTTAACTACATAGAGCTCATGTAGAATAGTACAGGTTAGATGGTGCACGTTACAGGGAATGTTCTTTTCTGATAATTGAGATCAAATATTTATAATATTTTTATTATATCTAGAACTAAATCATTATAAAATTTAGAGAGAAAGACAGAAAGACAATTACCAAATTTAATCAAATTTTATCAATCAATCAGGTTCATTGTTCGGACCAATTGAGAGAAAGAGGCTAAAGAGGTTTTAATTGTTTTAGGGAGGAAGAGTATATTGTTGTGGAACAGCGTGCACCTATACCCTCTATTAGCTCTCACCTGACTGTTCCCCCTGAATGTTCACATCACAGCGATGATTTGTCCTTCCATTCGTCCCTTATGTCCTGTTCCCTCCCGTTGTCCTTGTTCTCTCTGTCTACTAACCCCTCCCTGTCCCCTTGTCCCTCCCTTCCCCCTTGTGTCCCTGTCCGTTGTTGGTTGTCCCTCCCCTCGTTACTAACCCGTGTTCCGTGTCACCCCGTGTCCTCGTTCTCTGTGCCCACGTCTTTCACCTCAGATGATTGGTACGACTGCCCCCTAGCTAGCATGATTTCCCCTCCACACGGCACCACCCCCTCCTCCCTTTCCCCCCAGTAAACTCCCTCGGGAGTTGGGGAGAAGGAGAGAAGGCGGTGGGGCGGGGTTTTTCGTTGGGTGTTAGCTGATAGGGGATATAGGTGTATGAGGTCTCCAGGACGATATGTTCATTCCGCCGACTTCGCCTCGGGGGACCGTGGGGCAGCAACTGTCGGAGGACTGGGCGACCTCCGCTGTCTTAGAGGACTTCTTTATCTTAGAGGTAAGTGCAACTTCCAATGTGTTGGAGGACTGGACTAACTCATCTGTGTTGTAGGACTGGGGGACCTCCGCTGTATTGGAGGACTGGGCGACCTCCAGTATCTAGGAGGACTCTTCTTATCTTGGAGGTAAGTCTGAAACTTCTGGTGTGTTGGAACACTAGACTAACTTCTCTGTGTTACAGGACTGTGCGACCTCCATTATGTTTGAGGCCTGGGCGACCTCCACAGTCTTGGAGGAGTGGGCGACCTCCGCTGACTTGGAGCCCTGGGCGAACCATGTTGAAGGAGTGGGACAACTCTGGTGTTTTGGAAGACTGGGCGACTTCGACTGTCTTGGAGGAATGGGCAACCTCCACTATAATGGAGGACTTTGGAACCTCCGTTGTCTTTGAGGAGTGAACATTCTCTGAGCGATCTCCGCTATGTTCAAGGACTGTGCGACCTCTACTGTCTTGGAGGACTTGGAGTCCAGGGTGCTCTATCAAGTGAAATGAGCAACCTCTGAAGTCTTGAAGGTCCGCGTTGAGACATTGGGCGGCCTCTGTTCTTGTTTGAGGCTTTGATGGCCTCTGTTCCTGTTGAGGGTTTGGGCTACCTTTTTACCTATTGAGCTATGTCATGTAATGATCATACAGAGTTATCCTGGCTTTCTTTGAATGCTATAAAGCCCCAACATAAATACGCCAATGAAATGATCGCCCAAAGTTGCTCTGAACCATTGAATGCTATAAAGCCCCCACCTAAATACGCCAATGAAATTATCGCCCAAAGTTGCTCTGAACCATTAAATGCTATAAAGCCCCCACCTAAATACGCCAATGAAATGATCGCCCAAAGTTGCTCTGAACCATTATATGCTATAAAGCCCCCACCTTAATACGCCAATGAAATGATCGTCCAAAGTTATTCTGAACCATTAAATGCTATAAAGCCCCCACCTAAATAAGCCAATGAAATGATCGCCCATAGTTGCTCTGAACTATTAAATTCTATAAAGCCCACAGCTAAATACGCCAATGAAATGATCGCCCGAAGTTGCTCTGAACCATTAAATGCGATAAAGCCCCCACCTAAATACGCCAATGAAATTATCGCCCAAAGTTGCTCTGAACCATTAAATGCTATAAAGCCCCCACCTAAATACGCCAATGAAATGATCGCCCAAACTTGCTCTGAACCATTATATGCTATAAAGCCCCCACCTTAATACGCCAATGAAATGATCGTCCAAAGTTATTCTGAACCATTAAATGCTATAAAG